CTCCCCCCGATAGGGGAACTCTGGGCGACTCACAACAAACATCAAAAACATAAATATATATAAATACATAAAACATCAATTAAAAGCATTACCAAAAGAGGGGAAGGAATGCATCAGGAAACTCTCGTCTGCTACATTGCACACCTCCCAGGGGGTAGCTGGGGAAATTCTGCCTCTGAAAATGGGGATATGTTTATTTTCAAGGGTTTTGGGGGAGCTAAGCCTGCAAAATTCAGGGGCTTCCAGCATTACTTCAAGAAGTAGGATTGATTGGTGGTTAAGGTGCGAGTGGGATCTTGTCAGGATTTAATTCCTCTTTGACTGCTGGCCAGTCTGGGAGTGGTTTATAGGGTTTGGAGTCCGACATCCACTTTTTCTTTATTCCAGCAAAGCATCCGACTGACCTAGAGGATTCCTTTGGAAAGGGGTGATGGGCTAGGAATTTTATTAATACATCATAAATGAAGAAAACGAGAGAAGGGGCCCTGTTTAGCCATCCCCTTTCTGATATTCTGTTTCTTGTCAAACTCACCCAGACTTTCCACTGGGCAGAAGAGTAACTTTTGGCATGAGATTCGCTGCTGTTATTTCGCAATCAATCTGTAAATATCAGTATCTCTCCTGGCTTTATGTCCATAGAAGACCCTCTGCCTATAAGAATGCCACACGTTTACTCCGTTTCCACTATAGCAGTTTCTCAACCTCAGCAAATTTAAGATGGGTGGACTTCAACTCCCAGAATTCCCCAGCCATTTGGGAGCTGAAGCCCACCCATGCTGGCTGGGGAATTCTGGGAGTTGAAGTCCATGTGTCTTAAAGCTGCTAAGGTTGAAAACACTGCATTATGGGGTGTGACTTCTCTCCCTTCCCCTGCTTAGTCTTCAGGCAGCTCAACACCTCCATGGCCGTCTCCCAGATGTCGGCTGTTCAGTGCCGGTTGGCTCCGCTCATCCAGGTGATCCAAGATTGCAGCCACCTCTATCATTATACCGTGAAGCTGATGTTCAACCTCCATTCATGTAAGTGGATCTTCAGAGCATCACAGTTCTTCCTTTGGCACTTGCTGCCAGGGGTCGCAGCTCTCGCGTCCGGTACCCGCCTTGGGGACAGAAGGCCCTGGATTCCGACACAGGCAGGAGCAGCAGAAGATGGGCAAGGTTCCTCCTCTCTAGCTGGAGCGAACAGACTCCCCACATTCATCCGGGGAAGCTCAGCTGACGTTAAGCGCAAAGATCAGCAACAGTTGGGGACGTGTTCCGGCAGACTGTGTTTTCTGCTCCTGCCCTGCTTCTCTGCCTCTGCCCACACAGCGTCCAGTCACAGGGCAATTGATCTGAGTCGATTAATCAAAGATTTAGCAAAGGTCACTCCCGGGTTTCTGTCTGGCCTGTTTGCTGCAGTTGCAGGGGAAGCCAGCATGATTTGCAGGCTTCTCCGCGCGGAAAGGGTTTCCATGGGGAGAAGTTACAGCACGTTGGAGAAGAAGCTAGATGCAGTCGGGGTTCAGCCGAAGACAGGTTTCCCCCCTGAGCCAGGGCTCGGCCCCTGGCGTGTCCCAGAATCCTTTGCAGAGCAAGCAGGAATTCCTGGCAGACTCGCCCGGGTGGGAAGGGTCCCCTTGAGGCAGAAAGTTTGTAAAGCGCAGGGTTGAGTCGCCTGATTTGAATCTGGCCTGCAGTTGCAACACAGGCAGCGTGTTTAAAAACAACCCTGCCGGTGCCAGCCAGCCAGCCGTGGACCCTTGGGGGACATTCCTTCTCCTGATCCAACTGCTTGCAGCTGTGCTCTGGAACTTACACATCATTGCCCCACCACCACCACCCAAAAAAAACCCCAAAAGGATTTAGTTAAGCGGGAGGGGAGCTGCTCAGTCTCTAGTTTTAACCTTCTGCAATGCTGCTGGTGGACAGCGGGGGCACCCTCAAAACTGGTTTGCTGCATCAGTTAACATTTGGGGGTGCTGCAGACCCTGAAACCCAGTCTTTAAAATCTGCCTGGATGCTTATTTGCAAAGAGCGGCTTGCTTTTTCAACCTCTGACTAAAAGTGGCCCTTTGAAGATTCTGATCACTCATTCCTCTGCTTTTGACTCCGGCCTGTTCAGGTTTGCCGGCTGATACCCTGCAAGGACATCGAGACAGGTTCCACGAACAGTTTCGCAGGTAACACGACTTGAGGCCTCGTCCTCTGTGCAATTTGGGGCTGCTAGCTGTGAAGTCCAAACCCCCAAAGGGCTGTGCGGGGTTATTCCCTGGCATACAATCGAGTCATGTTATGGCTGCTCTGATTTTTTTTTAAATAACAGGAATACATTGTAAGAATACTGTGTGAATTGGATCCCCAAAGAATCCTCTTTTAAAAGGACAGCCCCTTGTATAATATATGCACTTGGGAAGAAAAAAACAGCAACACCATTTGACAAACATTAGCCGGGAACTGCTTCCTGATCCAGACTTCTGCAATCATGAGGCCTAGAAACTTGGCTAGTTTTATTTAATGCTGCACTGTGGATTAAATAAAACTTGCAGATGGGATTCAAAGAGTGGGAATGAGTGTTGGCTTGGATGGTTTTGAAAAAAAATTGATACAATCTGGATGGATTTGTGAGTTAGCTTAATTTAGCTATATGCAGCCTCTGCATTCGGAAGCAGTCTACAGGTAGTCCTTGTTTAACAACAGTTCAAAGTTATGATGGCCTTGGAAAAAGTACTTTATAACCTGTACTCACACATATGACCATCACAAACTGTCACACCAGCTCCCATGGTCACATGATCACGATTTGCTACTTTTTATGACAGTCGCAAAGCGAATCACCATGGTCATTAAGCAAATTACATGGTCGTTAAGTGAATTCCAGCAAAAAACGTCCATTGGGGAATATTTGCTTAATGACCATAATAAAAATGGTTGTAAAATCAGGTCCAGTCACATGGTGACTTGCTTAATGACCGCCCTGCTTAACAGCCAATCTTCTGGTCCCTATTATGGTTGTTAAGTGAGAACTACCTATACCTCCAAAGAGAAGTGCAGTTAAGGGCAGGACCCACAGAGGTGCTTCCCCAGACTGCTTATTTTTCAATTTGGCCCTTTCTCCTCTGTTCCTCTAGGAAAAACAAAGGCTTATAAATAAAATACTTAACCAACACCAAGTAATGGGGATCGTCGATGTCCTGGGAACACCCCACCCTCTCTGACACTGCTTGGTGTTTTTTCTTTGTAGCCTCAAAAACTTCTTCAAAAGAGCATCGGACATGCTGTATTTCAAGCGGCTCATCCAGATCCCACGGCTGCCTGAGGTACCCAATTCTTGTCCTGCTAGAAACAGGGCTGAACATCCTTCGTATGACCTGCGGGCCTGCATGCATGTGTGAAAGGGAACACGAGCAAGGGGGTGAGGGAGGAAGGCTGCCAGTCCCCCTCGCAGGGTTCTCTGAATGGGTAACCAGCCCTAACAGACGTCTGGAAAGCTGTGGATCGGTGGGTGAGTCTTCCCGGCCCAGGGGTCTGACCTCCTTCCTCCCACAGAACCCCCCCAACTTTCTGAGGGCGTCTGCCCTGGCCGAGCACGTCAAGCCGGTGGTGGTGATTCCGGAAGAGGCCCCCGAAGACGAGGAGGTGGAAAACCTGATTGAGATCACTACGGCTCCGTCCGTAGAGCAGCAGGTGAGATGCAGGTGCTCGGTCTGGCCCTTCGGAAGCGGGTGGTTGGTGCAAACTCCCTCCTTCAGCCCCATGCTTCCCCCCCCACCTTCCTCAGCTCTGGAAGACATAACCATGCTTCTGAACATGGGCCAAGTACCATTGCTCCCTGCTCGCTCACGACGGCCAGAGCATTCCCCGCAGCTTTTTACACAGACCTGCGCCTTCGCAATTCGTCAAATTCCGTGGCTTGATTTTTTTTCTTTATCTGGCATATTCCTGGGATTGGGGTCTCTGCTGTTTGGCATTTACGAACGGCGACGAGAAGGAGGACGAGGAGAAGCTGTGATTTGGAAAGAGAAATGCAAACGGGGAGGGGAAAGGGGGTTGGATTTCAATGAGCCTTTAGACCCTCCAGGCCCTCTCTTGGGGAAGGGGCTGGAGAAGACAAATGCTTGAGCAAGATGACGTGCAAATGTGCATAATTGACAGCCTTTCTCAGGGGGCGAGTCAGGTCATTTTACCTGCGGTTTTTGATGTCCTGCTGTTTTTATTCCTTTAAGTCATTCTTCTACTACTATACACCTGGGTTTAGGTGTAGCAGGAATACAGTGCTACTTATTTGCACGGCCCTTTTTAAAGTGTAAGAGGTCACACTCCTCCCC